GGGCTCAATGTGAACATCCGGAAAAGGATGCAGAAGGTTGGTGCCAATGCTTTTTTAGTATCTCTGGCAGACTTTGTGTGCCAAACTACTTATGTGTCCAGAGGTAAACTTAATCACCAGCTCTGAGCTGATTCCCTCCACCCAGCTGAGCTGATGGGGACCTGAGGCTTTTCACATCCTCTGTAGCAGGTGGATTTTACCTTCAGCACATGGAAAGTATCTGCATATGTCACACCTAATTCATTCCTGGCATTGCATCACTTACTCTCTGGAACACAGTTCTAGTGTCAACATTTTTCTTTTATTCTATATGATGCAAGTATTTGGCCTGATTAAATTATAGGCTGAGTAGTGGCATGCAATTTGAGGTTATCAGATACACAAGAGGCCAGACTTGGTGGCCCCATGGTCCCTCTCGTGGAAAAATGAGACCCAGTGGAATCATTACAAAGCACTAAGCAGTTTCAAAGCAGCAGGTACTGACAGTAACTCATGGGCAAAGCTGGGACCTGTCTCATCAGGTGATCAAATACCCACATGGCCTTTGTGATGGCTTATGTGGCACTGGTATGAGTGGCATAGCTGGATGCTCCAATGACTGTGTGCACCAGTGGGAAAACAATAAGCAAAACCTTTTGCAAGTGTCCTCCTGAACACCTAGATCTCCTCAGATATTCTTGCAGTGATTCATTCTGACTCCAGGTGAGTCCTTCACTGACCAGCCAGTGTCCCCAGGGATTGCTGCCTTTCTCAGCACTGTCTTTGTGCAGGTTTGAGTCCCTGCTGACTCCTCAGCATGCAGGATCCTGCTGCTTCTCCTTGGAAACAGTGTGTTTTCCATTGTACAAATACTAATAGTAACTTGTTTTGACTTGTTCATTTAATCATGGAGTCAGTTTGAAAGCTTCAGAAGAATGAAGGGAAATAATATTTTTAATTGGATTTTCTCATTGGTACAGGAATAGAATAGGAAATAACTGGAAGATATTAAGTACAGCTGTCTCATTTTAATGGAAAATGTATACAAAGTGAAAGCAAATGCATTTTTATTTAAATGTCATCACATATCTTTGTTTAAACCTTCAGTCTTTCTCATCATGGAAATGATCTTTCAAACCCTGTGAATCTCTAGTGCTGGAAGGGACTCCAGCTCTTGGCAGGTGGCATAACCACTTATGTCCCTGCTGGCTGGGTTTGTCACAGCTGCTGAGCACTTCTGTCCACTAATGACAATCAAACTTCCCTTCTGTCAGGCACTCCAGGTTTTTTTCCACAAATGTATATGAGATCAGTACTCTACAAAAAAGGGGGTAACTTAAATCTGAGGTATCCAGGTCCAATTTCAGTAAAAGTGCTCTTGACTTTATTCCAAGCTCAGAAGAGATGCCATAAACTTCCCTGTGGTGCATTGAAGATGTCACGGTAGTTAACCTGGATCAACCGGCACATTTGGAGTGTAAAGGCAGAGAGAGCTTAATTGCAGCTTTAATCAGCAGCCACAGAGCAATTGGTTCTGCAGAACAAAATTTTAAGGAGATTCTTTTGAGGGGCTATCCTTATTTTCTAGTGAGCTTGACACACTCCATGAGACTTGTCTTCCCCCCACACCCAAGCAGCCTAAACACACGCAGGAAAAAAAGCAGGAATGGAAGAGTGACTGTGCTGCCTGGTGCTGCCACCGGTGGCAGGAAGAGGGGAGCCTCCATAGCAGCTCCTGTTCCTGGATGCAGTGTCATGTGAACTGTTATAATGACAAGAAAACACATTAAATCTCTAAGCAATTGAATTAATGTAGATGATGAACACCAGTGTGTGCAGTGTGCCACACTAACCAAGAATGCCAATGCCCCACTTCACCAGACACTCGTACACAGTGACCTCCTTCTCCACCATCACCATCTAAAAGCTTTTCAAGCTAATATATAGTGTTCACCACCATAGATTGAGAATCTAGGCAGCTTTTAGGTGACCTGCCTCTGTGGTGGCAGCTGGGAAATAAACAATTTTGCAACTATGAAATGTTGCTTCCAGATTCTCTTCAATATATTGTCAATGCAGTAATTATCAGAAAAGACTGAGTGTGAAACAGTACATGCAATTGCTTTATCTGATTGCCTAGTTTTCTCCTCCCTTGCTCACTGAATGAGTCTACCTAATGTCAGGCTCGATAAAGTCAGGCAGCTGGCTATAAGAAACAAACAGTCCCTCATTAAGAGAGGCCCCTTGTGCTGCTTTTGTTTGTGCTCATCTGCTTTACAGGAATGGACAAGAAAAGCATGAATATTTAAAGCACTTTCCTGTGGCTGGGAACCAGCTGAACACAGTTCTGCTGTTTTTTCCACCCTCCCTTCTCTTCCTCAAAAATGAAGCCTCAAAGGCCATTGACAATTCTGCTCCATTCAGACAGATGTACATTTGCTATAGCTGAAACAGATTGTTGGTTTTAATGTGCAAATGTTGTCCTCTATTAAAATAGCTAAAAAGTTGATTTGAGAGCTGCCCAGTTTCATGGTTTCTGTCCAACAGCCTCATACCCTTGCCCTGTGGTTCCTCTCCCCAGCAGTCCTTGCTCTCCATGAGCTGCATTTGCATGCCAGCCTGCTGTGGATTTGGCAGCAGCTTGTGCTGGGCAGAGAGCACAGGGCTCCTGGCTGTGACTAGAGAGACACACAAGCCAGCAGAGCAGAGCTACTGCAATGTGGCAGGAGGTTCAGTCAGCTTGCACCTCGTTCTTAGATCTTGTATTAAAACCCCCTGTATCATTCGAAATTGAGATTTTTACTTTTGGGTAGATGCACAAGTGAGGGACCTTCTGCATGGAAGCAGCAGGAGATGGATGGGCAAGGGGTAAATGCAGTTGGTGCAGTTCAGGCTGTCGCTCCATATCACATTCATGGGGAGACTGACCTGGCAATCCTTGCAGAATATGAAGCACCTGGGGTTTGCACTGCTGTTGCTCAGGCTTGGGAGAGGATTGAATGGATCAGAATTGGAAAGATGTGAAGATGGAAGCTCAGAAACTAAGAATAGTATCAATCCTCTCTTTGTTAAGTTCATAGATTTTCAACTGTTCATACATGAAATTTTCATTCTGAAAAAAAGTGAGTGCAAGGGAAGAAGCTGACGCCTAAAATAAAGGTTCAGAGTGATAAGGTGGGATACAGTATCTGTGTTCTTTGGCATATTTTGCATTCATAGTCAAAATTCCAAGGGATTTGAATACAACCCCTGTAATGAAAGGGATACAGGACCAAAATCGGTCTTTTTGTAAGAGCTATAAATTATGTAGAAGTAAAACCCTTGGAGATAAGAAATAGAGTGTGTGACCTCATGAGCTTCTCTGCAGCTGTATTCTCTGATTCCCTTATGACTGAGGGTCTGGGAATTGTGCTGCATAGTTCCCATGAGCACTCCCTCTGATGTTGGGCTCTGCAAATCCCAGCAGAACCACATACTGGGACACAGATACCTCCTCTTCTTTCACTATGAGATTTCCTCATTTTCTTGGAAGAGTCTCAACCATTTCTTGACATGGATGAGAAGAAAAGAAGAAAGATATTATGAGATTTCAGATTTAAAGTATTGACATAAGTAAATGCACTCTTAAAATGGTTAGGGAAGGTATTTTATTTCTTTGTGGGTTAACTGTGAACTTCTCTGGGGTTGTGGAGAGCAAATTATCTGTGGGGAGATGACCTGACATTTCCTTCTCAGTTGTCCTTATGCATGTGTGGTTATGTGTATTTTGCAGCATCTTTTAACATGTAACATAGATTTTTAGGGCCAACTAACTCAGTTCATGCTTTCAGGCACTCCACAATGCACTGGAGTCCCTTGAAGCTTCAGAGTTGTGTGTACTTACTGTGGTGTAAGTTCTTGGTGTCAAATTCTAATGAGGTGCCATATGGAAAACTGCTGAGACACCGTGTGGAGAACAGAGGGCAGGAAATACACATCTCTCTGCCTGATGCTCACAGAAAGCCCACTTTGCAGGCTTTCCAAGTAGAAGCTAGCTGAGGAGGGGTAATTGGATTTAATGCTTCTGCTATGTTTTGGACCCTGGTCAGACAATAGTGGTTTTTATGCAAAACAGTGAAATCTATATCTTCCCTGAGTTAGTGATGAAGAAAACATGAAGTCTAGTCTTTGGAGCCCCAATGGTAGCAGATTTTTATAAATTGCACTAATTTTATACTTCAAAAAAGACAGCAGCCTGCAGAGATCTGTTACTGTGCTGTCACATAATTTCAAAATTTCATCCACCCGTACTCCCAGGTTTTTCTCTGCAGGACTGTGCACTTGGCCTTGTTGAACCTCATGAGGTTAACAGGGCCCTGGTTCTCCAGCTTGTCCAGGTCCCTCTGGAAGGTATCCTGTTCCTCAGGTGTGTCAACCACACCACTCAGCTTGGTGTCATGTGCAAACCAGCTGAGAGTGAAGCTGTGCTGGCGGTCTCAAGTCACCAACCTGTTCTCCTTTTGCCTTAGTACAACTTCTAGGAAGATCTTCCGTGATCTTCCTGGGCACTGAGGTGAGGCTGGCAGGTCAGTAGTTCCCAGGTCCTCCTTTCTACCCTTTTTTAAAAGTAAGTTTCCCTTTTCTGAGTCACCAGGGATTTCACCTGATGGTCAAGACTTTTCAAGTATCACGGAGGGTGGCTGGGGAACTACATCAGCCAATTCCCTAAGGACTCTGGGATGCATTTCACCAGGCCCCATAGACTTATATATGTAAACCTGGGAGCTTTTGTTAAACCTGTGAGGACCTGTTAAACCAGGTTTCTCTGCTCCCAGTCCTCGTTCTGAGCACACAGTCATTGTTCACAAAGCTCCAGCCCAGTGCATGTAATGTGGGGGGGAAGAGAAGGTGAAACCCAGCAGGTAATCCAGATGAGTGAAAGCTGCAAGAGCCACAGTGGAGAAAGGTGCTTAATCTGATGTCACAGCACCAAGGGAGGCTTGATTCAAGGCACAAACCCATGAGAAATTGCAAAAGTCAAATCCTTTATGCAGATTTATTTAGAAAAACCACGATGCTGGGGAGTCGCTGTTACATAGCGTGATAATTCTCTTCCTCTTGAGTAATATGCACCACACTGTGCGCATGCAACTGCTTTTGTTCCAGAGATAACATCTTCATCTATACATGTACACATACAGTCCTCAGTGCACGCTACACGTCACATGTATGTTAGGACACGCACAAAGTTGAGCTTTTCCATGAAAAAACTGTATAAAAAATACAAACCAAACTGAAGCAGTCAACACGAGAAGCAATGTGCAAAAATAGACAAAGTTACTCCTGAATGTTTGCTTAAGAAAAAAGGACTCTTCAGTCCCTGTTCCCCATTCAGCACTGACAATACCAGATGTTGCCTGAAAGTAGGATATGAAATAACTAGTCACATCCTGCCCCCCATCATGTTAGTTGCAGAGATTTTTAACCAGCTAAACAATCCTATATTAGTATGAAAATCTGCCTTCAAGCATCACCATCGTGTGCTGTCGTTGCATTGAACAGATCTTTATATCGTTGCAATGTCTGACTGGTGATGCTCAAGGCCGATGACAACCAAGCCCTTGTGCGGAGCACACAGAAGAGGCAGGACAAAGATGTCCCTGGTCACTGAGCCCCCTGGCAGGGGCTGGCAGCAGCTGCCTGGAGAAAATGGCCCGGGATTAGGAGTTCTCCTCATGCAGGCTGGAAGGAGCCTGACCTCCCAGGTCCGCTGCCATGGCGTGCACAGCTCCAGGCCCTGTCTGCGAGCACGTGGTGGGGCTGGTGTTTGAGATGATCCTCTCAGAGCGCCTGAAGAATCCTCCCTTCAGAGGAAACATGGTGAAGGGATGGAGAGCCTGCAGGGCTTTCTCCAGCCGGGTGCCTTGGTCCATGATGCAAAACTGTAGCTGACACGGATGGAGCCACCTGGCTCTGTGACCGCTCGTGTGGCTCTGGGCAAAGCTATACAGGGTGACATGCTGCAGACACCATGGAGCAGTCAGACCAATCCACCCTTGCAAAACTGCTGCATGCAAATACCAACACTTTAAATGGCAATTAAGACTAGAAATGGATTGCACTTGTTTCCCTTAAACACGTACCACTCTTAAAAAAAAAGCAACCATTAAAAAGAAATCTCCAAAAAAGTGATTGATAGTTGGGATTCCCCTGGTTGGATCAAAGAAGAAATTAGGGGCAGTATGACTCCTATCACTGAAGTTTATTAGTAACATAATCTTTAGGTTTTGTGGATAAGGATTCTTCCTACCCATGAAACTTGATGCTGCAAAAGCCCAGTATTCCCCTGGTAAGCCAAATGGGTATTGAGGACTTTATTGAAACACATGCAGAGTTACTACTGTATTACAGAATTTGTAAATTTTTTTTTAGTGGGATATCAAATTTTTTCACAGCCAATCCTGCATGGATCCAGGGCAAATCTCAGCAAGACTCCCCCGTGTGTTATGTTTTCTACTTGCAAAGCAAAGGTTTCAGTTTATTCTGAGGAATTGAAGGAGTGGAGGAAATTTTAGAGACTGGGAGCTCTCAGGGAAGTAAACTGTGGCTACTGTACTTTATATCCCAGCTCAGCAGATCACTTCAGCAAACTATTTTAAGTAGGATTTACATCAGTGTTGTTTACTTTGAACCCCAGTATGAAGACCAGCATCCAACAGAAAGAGTGTTGCCTTGGACCTACTCATTTCCATTACAAAAGGCACAGAGGGAGGGTTCATCCTGTTAGCTTGCACCCCAGCTCTGGTCACGAAAACATCACTCAGGGAAGTGTGTCAAACATTTACCAACTGCTCCTGGGGCTCCTCAGGCTTTTAATCCCTGAATGCCCAGCTGCACAGCGGCTCACAGCTCTCCCCCCCTGGGTCAGGAGGATCTGCAGTGACTGCGACCTCCAGCATTGTCCCAAGGAAGCAGTGCCTCATCCCTGTTCTCAGCAGAGAGGCCACTGTGTCCCAGGTAATGGCACCAGCCCCAGGAGCATTTCTGCCCCTCTCTGGAAGCCTTGGTATGTGTGACACACCTGAACTGAGTGTCCCTTAGCTCTTACAGCATGCACACATGTAACCAAAATGAACCTCTGGCTGTCAGTCAGCTGTTGGCAGTGATAAAACAGTGGCAGAGAATAGTTTTAGACTGTAAAATACACAAAATGAAACACCAGACTGAATTGTCACTAAAATTTCAAACGCTGTTGAGCATTGGGTTAGCTGCTGCTTCATGAGTGCTATCCACTGGGTTAGGATTATGTCCAGCATCTGAGTTAAGGCCCTGATTTAGCAAAGCATTTGTGCATATGCTTAAATCTGCCCTTATTCAGATAAGCACTGACACAAAAACCCTTGTGCCTTGTGATATAGGGACAAACCTCAACTGCAGCCTATAAATGTAGGTTATGTAGCTGTCAAAACTACCCCTTTAAAGTTTTTTTCCTGGTAGCACAGTGGCTCTCCTGGATTAAATATTTAATTAATCTTTATCTAAAAGGTCCTGAGAACAGTTCTATAATACTAACAAATGTACATAAATACCAGAACTAAAAGAAGTCAAACTCATGGCTCAAAGCAAAACAAATATTGCTCAGAATACTTGTTTAGGTCAAGATTAGCTGTAAACTGTGCATTCTAGTAGCAAACAAAAACTTGTTGGCCTAGAAAAAAAATTAAAAACATTCAATGTCTATAGGATTGGCAGCACTAATATTACTTTACAATGTGGAGTAAGGATAAAAAACATCAGTGTAATGTTGCAAAATGATCCACCTAACCTAAGCTCATGTAAACAAGTACGCTTTGACAATGCTTGTACGTCTAGGCGTGATCCTGCACTTGGAGCTGGACGGGTGGAGACCCAACAAGGGAGATGGGTGCTGTTCCAGTGTGGTTCCAGCTGCCCAGATCCCACTGCAGGAGGAGGCTCAAGGGTGTGAATCTGCAAACCTGTACTGGCATTACTACTTCTACTCCTGGGAGCAGCCCATGGCAGGATTCAGTTCAGCAGGACTATACACATAAGTCAGGATTATTCACAAACATAAGGCATTGCAGAACTTGGCCCTAACATTTCTATTTTCAGCAGAGAATCCCTTATCCATACACAAGGTCATATTTTAACATATCAAAAAGTGTCTAAAATAAGGGTCAGAGTCACTATATGTTATGCTGAGCAACACAGTTAAGATGCTGCATATTGGCTTCAGATATTGCAAACCATTTTTTGTTTTCATTAAAATCAAACCAACTATGAACCTTTCTCATAAGAATTAAATTAACTGTGAAAATTGAAAATGAACAGGCTCTGTTTTCAAGGTTAGAAGGAGACATTAACAGAAATGAGCAACTCCCACTGTAATGGTTTTCCAGTGCCTTCCCTTCGGACCAGTGAGCACTCTGAGACTGCAGTTGGTGGTGGCCTCCACTCTTGGCTTGTATCCTCCGTGACATGGCTACTGCCGCTCTCCTTCCACCCGCTTTTTACGAACTGGACCAGGAAAACAAGGAAAGACCAACCATTATTGCCTTCCTGAGAGTCTAAGGACTTCCCTCACAGACACACTCCCTTCCCAGTAATGTGCGCTGGAAGGAAGGAGCCTCTAAGAAACACTCAGCAGGATTATGTCCAAAAATACCATAATTAATAGATCTTAATGCCCAACAAAACAATTGTACCTGAACTGCATTTTCTACATCACAAGACCGTAGAGTTCCACCAAGTGTTCATATCAATACATTTTCTATAAAAATCAGATTCTGAGCTAAAAAATCAGATTATGATCATTTTAGACAATGAATAAATCACTATTTCCAGTGCTTCCTTCCAAGGGATCCACTTGGATTTTTGTAACAGTTTTATTGTTCTTTTAAAGAGCACTGTGTTCCAGCTAAATTGATACTGGTCTGCTCTAGTCTGCATGGCAGCACTCTGGATTATTTAAGATTTAGGCATCAAAAATTGATAACTTCTGTAATTGCACAGTGTATACTATAGGTAAGCAATAACCATATCCTTTTAGAAAATAATCTGAAGTACTCTTAAGTAATGGTATCAGTGAATATTAGCAACAAGGAAAATATCATATTGGACTTTAAATTATCTATTTAAACTTCAGGGGATCTGATTGCATCAAAGGTCTGAGAGTAAGTTAATTTACTATGGATTTTCACTGGAAACCACATAGGCTGAAGCTGCCATTTAGCAAATCAGAATGAAAAGCTCAAGTGTCAAAGCAGGACAAGCAGCTTCGACAAGCAGCCCCATGTGAATTTTTCAGCACTTAGGAGACATTACACCTGGAATAGAGCAGCTCTAGTTGAGCAGTATTTGCTACTTCATACTCTAATAACACACCGAGTGTTTTCTGACTTGGCCAGATAAGATGAGTGAGGTTCTCCTGTTTGTGTGGTACAAAACTTAGCGTCAGGTCAAACTGTCCTGTCCTGTTTCTGATATCAAATGGCTGAAGTACAGAACAAAGCAGGAAAACTGGATGAATGAACCATCTCCACTACAGAAAGTCAATAACAACATTATATTACTACAAACGTCCCATTACTTTACTATCAGGAGTTTTATTTCACAATGCTTTCTTGGCAAACAGGCTGCATTATTCCAAAGCCTGCAGCATAACATCAGTGTCTGCTTCCAGTGTTTTGTGGCTTCATTTATTTTATTTTATTGAATTCTTTAAGGAGTTCTGTCCTACAGAATCTTAAACAAAGCCATACAATACAAACACAGGAAAATGAAGGTTAGGACATAAGTCTAATGGCAACTGGTAAAATAGTGAGAAAAAGGGTCTTTCTCTCATTTTAGGTGGGATGTTTCAAATACCATTCACTAAATAGTTTCAGGACTGATAGTATATAATTGGAATGCTTAGGTGCTGCTAAAAATTAAAACTGCAAAAACCCAAAAGTATGTGTGAGAGAAATAGGTTTCATCTCAGCTGTTACCGTAGTTCCCACAAAGAGAAACCCAAGCTGAAGCCTGCAGAGGCATCATGGTTTGACATCCCAGTCTGAATTAGAATTGATTAAAAACACATAGTTTAATTTTTTTTTTTCCTTCTTACTCTAAACTACTTCTGCCTAGTCATCTCCTCACTCTGTGTACTGAGCAGGCAGGGCAGAGCGTGTCATGCTCAGGTAGAACTTGCAAAGCTTTGTTGTCTTTGCCTGTACTTGGTCACAAAGGCAGGAGAGTCTGTTTTGTTCCCTTGGCTGGGCACGCTTGGCCAGTCATGGACAGGGCAACAAAGCCAGGACTTCTGTGTCCACTGAACAAACAGGTTGGGTTTGGCTCTTCACTTATGGGCTAGAACAGCTGATAGGGCAGCTGGAAATCCAGCATGTTCCATGGAAAAGGCTGAAGTAACTCCTCTTCCCAGAAGGAGCAGGAGAAGGAGAGCAGTGGCTCCTAACCACAGCAAGATCTTTGCTGTTGCCTGTCTGGAGTCCCTGGGGCTGTGCATCCCCCCTCACAGAGCAGCTTGAACGTTGCACAGTCAAAATTCAATCTTATGTACAGACAGGAAAAGTTGTGTCTGGGAAGGTCAGGGCTTGGCTCACATAAATAAATGATGAATAAATGTAGTAGCGTCTTACCCAGATCGTTGTTTTTAGTGATAGCTGCTGCTACCCTGGTTCTTGGACCTTGCTTTGTGAACTGGTATCCAAACTTGAGAATCCTTGAGTTCTCCTCCAGCATCTTGGCAATCTCCATCTCTACAGCTGTCCCGAGCTGCTGCCTCTGTTGGCAATGTGGTGAAATGTTCCCAAAAGAAAAAAAAAAATATTTGTTTTCATATGAGAGAGAAAGGGGTTGTATTTCAGCACTGGGCTGCAAACTACAAAGAGAATCCCATCCCTGGAGATTTTCCTCTGGGTTTTATATTTGGCTTTGGCTATTTTTATTTAGAAGTTTTCCACTGTTTGGTTGCACAGGCATGGGACATCAGCTGCAGAATAACTGAGCCACAGAGGCTGTCTTGACTTTGCCAGAGTCCCCTAGGAGAATCCTCAGGGAATTCATATAAAAGGGAGACAAAAGTGGACTTCTTCAGTGGTCTCTCTTTACCTGGTTGTCAATTTTAATCTCTGTTAGGGATTCATTCTTTTTCAGTGCTTCAATCAGTGCCAAAATCCCTGTTCCAGTGATGAAGTTGGATTCTACATTCAGACTCTTCAGTGTTTTGTTCACTTTCAACATATCTGCAAACGCCTGAGGGGTGAAAAGGCAGGAGCATGAAATAACACCTGGAGAGTTTCAGGGAATAACAGGGAATTTGCAAAACATAGCTTAGTACCAACAAGAAATAAACCATAAATATGCTTAGAAGAACATAGAGGTAGATCAGAAGAGATTACACTTTCACTTTGCATAGTCACAAGAGAAGATGAAAAATGCATCCTAAATCAGATGTAGACCTACTCAAAATTTATTGTGTTTTTTTCCAAGCACTGTTTAAACTTACAATAGCTACAGGGTCATTGCTTCGAGTAGCTGCAAGGCTGAATGTCTTCACATGTGTGTTGCTTTCCAGAGCTTTTGCAAATTCTTTCAGTGTTGGAATAGGAATATTCTACAATAAGAAGAACAAATCCAGTAATTAGAAAAGCCAGTCACACTGCTAGACACTGATTTTAATTACTATCAAACCTATTGACTAATGACCGCAGTGTATGCAATTTAAACATCCCTGATGCTTTTAAGAGTATCTCCAAATGCACAAGGGCTCCTCTGCACACAGTGGCCCCCAGAGCCTCATGGTTGCCTGTGCTGGGCTGTGATGTCAGTGCTGCCTGTAACTGGGTCAGGCCAGCACAAGCACGTGACCATCTCTGAGCTACTTTCCTATTTTGCTGCTGGTTGTTCAGGCTCCACGTGCCAGCTCCTCCTCGATTTGCACGTGTGGGCTAATTGAATTTGGCCAGTGATGATTAATAGCACCCATGAGATATCTTGCTTTACAATCTGCTAAAGAAAGGCAGCCAAAGGGAGTCACCCCTTGGGCTTTTAATTGGCATTTAATTCAATATCAGGAATTGATGACCTTGGAGCCTCTACAACAGTCCTTTCCACATCCCTTCACTGGGTGTCCTGCTTTTTCTGAACAGTAAAGAGAGACAAATTTTGAAGATAAAAGGCAAGGGCTTTGGAAATATTTTAATAAAACCTCCTATGATGACATAAATGAAACCACAGCATCTACCTTTATGTTGTTGAGATTGATTTCTGTGAGACTAGGATCATTTGCTTTTATCCTTTGTAGACTTGCTTCCACATTGGTCGGATTAGGTGGCTCCTCAAAGATGGGCTTGACCTTTTCACCTTTCACCACATCTGCAACACAAGATCTCGTGAAATGTTGACCGAGGAACAGGCATCATCAGCAACAGTCTGGCTTCTCAGTTCCCATTTAGGTTTGTACTGCAGCAATCCAGGAAGGGTTTATAAGAATCCCAAAACTTGCAAGCAGGAGTATCAGCCTCATTATCCCTGCCATGCCCTTTGCACCTTCTGTGGCCCCAGAACATGTCACTGGAGGCTGTGGTCACAGGTTGGGCAGTATCATCATGGGCAAATTCCTCCTTTATGTACAGAAGTCGCTGTACAATTAACTTGAGCCAAAGCAGCTTTAAAGACTATTGTATAGGGTGTAATATATTGCAAGGGCTGCTTTGTTCTTTGTCTTTCGTCTGTAACAAAGGGTGTGCTCAGAACTTGCCCATGACATTAGTAAGAAGACATCCCTGCACCTATGAATAGACTGTGCTAATGTGAAGCAACACGGTCAGGAGGCCCCTCGGTTTCCTTCTCTCAGCTGATACTATCAGCCTTACTATAAATTCAATTAGCTCTTGTAAAATTGCAACATCTGCACTTTCTAAATAATAAAACTATCAAAGCATGAAAAAGCAAGTCCATCTGCCAGCACCAAGATTTATGAAATCCTTGAGTGTTCATGCTCAGAGAACTCTGGTATTTAATGCTGGAAGCTACGGGCTATAAATATTCCCAGAGATGCATGAAAATCATAGCTTAGAACTCAATTAGTACTTCTAATTCCCATGCATGTAGTCATGGAGATTAATTTATAAACCTTGACCACCCAAGCCACCAGAGGCAAGAAAGGAAGTATGTTGCTGACCACAAGTATGTTGAAACCCTTGTATTTTATGCTGCAGACAGGGAGAGATTTTGAAGACTTGTTCAAGTCTCAGGGTACTATGCATTGCTGTTCAGTGCTATGGGTAAAGTTCATGCCAAGTCATGGGCCAAAAAAAAACCCACATCTTTTTTTAGAACTCATACTCTTAGTGGAGATGGTCATACAGAATCCTTGAGCTGCTCCCTTTGACACCAAACTTTGTTTTCACTAGTCCCCTGAGAGACTTCACATATCCCTGAATAATACTCCAGCCTTCCTAGGGAGCAGGAAATTGAAAACTACAGGTAAAATACATATAGAGAATTCACCTTGCATGCAAGGACAGAAAGGAAACAAACAAAAAGCAAAACATTTTTTGCACTTGTGCAACACCCTCTCAAACTGGGAGCTGGGGAGAGAAATGCACCCTGCCCTCATGTTAGACATCCCAGTGCACTCAGTCTAGAGTTACGAGTAATTTTAATTTTCTACTTCGTGCTGTTTCCCACGAGTTTTTCTTGTTTCTTTAATCATGTGCTGTTTTGCCACACTGATGGGCAACTTTGAGATGACTCCCTCACTCCCCAAGTGAAATGAAGCATTTCACTTGGCTGAGGAAAGGTATTGCTTTTGGATCAAGGAATACAGGGATGTGACGGTGGTTTTCTGGTTCTGAAGTCTGTGATTGGAGCATAGTTTAGCTGACTCACATAGCTGACTTTTTGACTCAGTACAACAAAAATATTCTGAAATCTATGAGGATTAGTAATGCATGCAGTTGCCTGTTATGAGATAGACGGCAGCTCACCCAGGGCCCCGCTGGGGAGGCTTGCAGAGCAGCCTAATCCTGAGAAAAATGAAGTGACACAGTGTCCTGTCTACTTTCCCACCTCCCCTTTAGTAATGAAAGATGGAAATGAAAGTCCTTGGTAAAGAGAGCTGCTGTTCTCATGGCCTTAGAAGAAGTAAGTATTTTTTTAGTACTGTTTCCCTAGAAAAGGACATTCCACAATTTTGTCTTAAAAAGCAAAGTTTAGCCTGTTTGATATCCCAGAGCTCAGAGGTGACAAGTTCTGGATCAAGGCTTGGCAGTCCTCAAGAAAAACTTGGAATTCAGACGCACCCATTTCTCCCCCCATCCAGCCTCCTGTGGGGTTGTTGAGCTAAGATCTGATTCACCACAGGTCTGTTTATTTAGTGCAAACATTTCTGGATTTGTTTTTAGTAACTAAAGCTGTCTCTGTTGGGGGATTTCCTGGATGATTACGGTTCCCATGTACCTGAGGGGCCTCAGAACAGGCACAGCCACAGGGCTAAGGTGGAGGTGGGAGATCAGAGAGCAGTCAGGGCAGGAGCATGTCCATGCAGACCTTGCCTCCCCATGAGTGCAGCTTGAGGTGACCCCGGTCACCGATGTGACTCTGCCAGGGATTCTGCCACATTTGAGCCCAGTGGTTACAAGTCATTTTTCAGTTGTGTCAATGTAGGTACTCGGGGCAAGATGGCCTGGCCTGAGCTGTGGCCAACTCTTTGCTTCAGGTCCCTCTGTTTCCTGCCTGCTGCCTGAACTGAAGGGGAATGGAAATATATATGTCTTGGCCTCTTAAATACTCTCATCCTTTCAACACTCATCCTTTCAATACTCTCATCCTTTCTGCAGAGCCAGAAACTGCTCTCTAAGAAAACAAAGCTCCTTAGGAATGACCTATTTGTATATTACTGTTGTCATGATAATGAATTTTAAGATTGTATTTACTTTTAAAAACTTACCTGTCATGATTAATTAGATCAATTAAGGTTAGGCCCAGTTATATTACACTAAATTAGACCAACAGATCAGGCCCATAGGTGTAGAAGTCCCTAAAGATGACGTGCAGCCCACAAGAGAAATCTGCTTTACTTACTTCTTACGGTTCCTTTTCCATCTTTGCTGCGGGCTCCTGCTTCATTAAATTTTGGGTTGTTGACCATGTTGTGCACTCCAAGAACAGCTGAAATGTGTAAATACCAGAGACAGGATACAATGTTAATGGCAGGAACACAGACTTCAGGAAAATATCTGCTACAAATTGTGGTTTAGTTCCCCAAACAAAGCCCCCTTTATAAAATATTAACTGAGTCATGCCTGCTTGTAGGGGGAGTCTTTAGGGTTTAAATTCTGGCGATACAGACATTCTCAATATAGATTTTTGAACAACTAAGTCAATGTAGATGCACTTCACAGAAATGCCAGCTGGAAGGAACCACTGTGGGTCATCTTGTCCAGCCTCCCCCTCAGGCAGGAGTGTTGCCAACATTAATGAGGTCAGCCATGGCTTTGTCTGGCTGGATCCTGAAAACATCCAGGGATGGAAATCCCACAGTCTCTTTGGGTAACTTGTTTCAGGGCTACACTTCTAATCATTTTTCTTCCCTAATATACAACCCACAGGAACAGCAGGGACTTGAGAGGTGATCATGAGACACTCCTGGTGGCAGGCTGGGCAGAGAAGAACTGGATGTGTGGGAGCATCACATCTATGCATTGTCTAACCTGCAAGGTCATAGAGCTCAGTATCTGAAGCACTGGCCAGGGCCTCTTCTAGTTCTGGATCCAGGGTCACTTTCTCTTCTGTACGGGTTTCAACAGGCTTTTCTTTAGGGATAAATATTTTTCCTGAGAGAAGAAAAGAACCAGAGTGAGTAATGAATTATTGGAACAACTCCTCTGCCTCCTGGCAGGGATGGGAATAGGTCTGTGACAGTGGAACTGCTTGAAAATATTATCAAATGCATGGTTTTCTCTCTCTTACTTGGTGCTATCCTCCACACCATGATCTTAGTAAGTCTAAAAATAAAGGATGCAGACTTCTGCTCTATGTTGGTGATTGTTATTTTAGGGCATTTGCTCTAAGGAGCAATCACAGCTGGGATTTTTCTGAAGGTCCTATGGCCTTAAATAGGTAGAATCAGGTCTACACAAAAAGCTTGCAGAAATTTTATCCTTAGATTTAAATTAGGCACTAGAAGCAGTTAAAAGCATCCCACTGCAAGAACCTTTCAGTTCACGAACTTCCATATATGATCCTGAAAGCTCAGCAAACCTGTTCTCTTCCAGTTTCATTCCTAGCATCTCCACAGTATTTCCCCTCTGTGTCTCCTGATGATCGTTCACAGGAATATCCTTATTCTGCTCATCTGTGCAGGTCTGGAAAGTCTGAAGGGAACTACATGTTCCCTAAGAAAGACTCCTGACCTATTTGTCTCTCTTGATAGACTGCTGATACATTGGGGTTAGCAGGTGTGTGTTTCCATAAGATATTCTCCCAAGACTGAGATTATTGGCCCTTCTGAAATAAGGAAACTGTAGGATAAATCCAGGAACAACACAACAAGTCCCACTACTCCTTCAGCCTGCAGTGATAGTTAGCCTCAGTAGTGTGATGATGTAACTACAGACATCTGGAGTGAGGCCTTTTAAATGAGGGCTCGAGCTGCACTTCAGTCACCAGCACTGCTGGGGCTCTTCCCCCACTCAGCAGTTCCTGTGCCAAACCCCTGCAGTCAGCAATGCATTGGATGATGCCACATGCAACAGGCAGTGTCACTGCTCTGGTAATTCTCTGAATTCCCATGGTCTGCTGTCCGGTGTGGAGTACTTCCCCTCACCTTGACCCTTCTCAAGCAGGCTTTAATCAATCCTGCTGTAATGAAGCTGTGATGATCTTTGGATGCAGGTGGATTTGGCCCATTGGCAACTTCAAATTGTCTCTTTGTGCAGCTTTGTACACTCTAGATGTAATGCTTGAAACATGCCCTGTGACTTTCTGAAATGTCTCTAAAACAGTTTGTTACCATTAATCAATGTAATTCTCATATTTAGTGTTGAATTACAGATGATTTTCCTGTTTTTTCAACACTGTCATCCTTTTGTGGCTTAATTTTCCCTCATTATGGTCCAAAGTATCATTTTCATGTAATAATACCCAATTCACTTATTTCTTTCATACAAGTTTGTCTACAGCCATTTCCATACTGTCAGCTTACATGACTGAGGTCACTGAGTAAGCTCAGAAAAAAAATTTGATGGAAATTTCTGAAACTCTGGCAAAGTTTACTGATGTAGAATTCAAATTATTTACCTTAGAGACATTTCTACCAAGGCTAAATAATTTCAGAGTACAAAACTGGACAAAAGGTTATATAGAAAGGCAAAATAGTATAATGATTTCTTTTTCATGCAATATTTTATGTAATTTTTAAAGAAAAGGCTTCAAGAAGATAAAGGCCTTCATGGGCCAAAGGTAAGAACCATTTTAACTTTCACCATGCATTGGGTGATAGGAATCAAGGACAGCCATCCCAGACTCATCAATCAGAAGTCAAGTGGAAATATGGGATGAGAAATACTCTGCAAAGGTAGATTAGTTGTGCTCTCCAGTTTTCATAGCAGCACAGGTGCTAAGATTTCAGACTCCCTCTGTGTTATCACCTAATCTGAAGTGTTGGATGGCAGCTTTCAGACACCACTGACCAAGACTTAACTTGATGCCAGCTTGATGTAGGGAAAAAAATATTACTGTGTTGGAAGGTAGAAGACCAAAATCAATCAGACTCTCCAAGTAAACAATCAGTAGTGAGGAGTACTGCCTATAAAGTGTTTTCCTTCCAGAACACTGGTGGTTCCACATGAGCTTCGAGCAATCAGTAGGTTGGTTGAGATTTTGAGGGAATCCTACTGATCTTTATCCTGAGTGATATTACTATTCTGTAACAACTATCTCCACAGTCACAGCTTGCACGAAACATCTCCACCAGGCAGCAAGTGATCCTTCACAGACCCAAACCCCAGCCACACTTTTAACAAATACTGATGGAAGTCTGTACTTTCACACAGAGCATTGTAAAGGGGACACAGGACCCTGAGTCTGGTGTAAACTGGACACAACATGTAGTGTAGCTGGTCTTTCTCTATTGACAATGGATGTGTGAGAGCCAAGTATCTTGCACAGCAAGAAATCAAGGGGTAATGGAAACCAGTACAGGCTCATACTTCTTCTGTACAGTTCACATATATAGGAATACAATTTTAAACATTTGTTTCAGGCATATGTAATTTTTGGATGACAGCCCAAACCTTCCTTTTTAAATGTGTGTATGATTCCCAATGATAGTTTAAAGCATTCTTGGCAAATGTTTTAGAAAAAAAATTCTATTATTGGTTATATGAAATATCTAAAGGGGCAAGGTCATGTCAAAGATGGTAATATATATCTTTAATATATGTGGGCCTTGCTGGCATCCAGTGGTGTTTTAAAAATATTCTTTTTACTGCTATCTAGATAAGAACATTCCACTGTGAAGAGAGGCTGTAGCATAGCAGAGGGAGGTTAGAAAAACTAGTGCATTTAACATGTTATTAGGAATTTATTACCTGTCCACCAACTGCAAAACCGCATGTCTGCGTTTATACACAGCTGTAAAACGGTTTTCCTTCATTATTTAAGGACAGAGTTTAAAGATTCAGGAGGTCTCTCCTAGTCCCACATCCATACATTGTAAATTCATTACCCAGTGCCACCATGGAATTCACTTGCAAAATAATATATGGATTGTGGCTTCCTTGTTTCAATTGTGCAACTTAAAATTTATTATTTGGAATAAGCCTTGGAAGAATAGTGACATTTTATTATTTTAAAATTAGATTTATGAAGAAAGGCTGCAGCTCTTTACAGTCACAATGTATTTTAGTGTTCTATGTGATATAATTAATGTTGTCTGTGTTACATTTTGCCCCCAGAATATGCTAATGTTCTGTGCTAAATCTTAATAGTAATTGTTTAACTTTCTACCAGCGAAAAACACTGTGACAAGTTCTGTTTATACATAACTTGAGTTAAATTGGTGTTAACAACACAAATATAACCACACTTATGTACAAAAATAATATATTCTTTAACTGAAAAACAAAGTTCAATTCCAGTAAAACAATAGTATTAAAATACATTTTTATTTTTGCATAGAAACCCAAAATGTGTGGAATCCAAAGTACCTTCTTTCAACATGAAATTTTAAGCAAACATCAATGCAATTCTCCTCTTCTTTCTGTCAAACTGGAATAAGTGTCTATGATGATCTGGATGACGGCTGAGGCGGCTTATTATAACCCAGGGACTTTGTGAGTGCAGTGAGCAGAGATTTGTCCTGGCTCAATTTAACAACAGATTTATTCCTTTTCATGCACTGCAAAACCTCTATTCAAATTGAAATACGATACCGTCCATGTTTTACTCAAAAGAGGCTAAATGGAAAAAAAAATCCATTGAAAACCAGAGGGAAGAAGAATTCAGTGAAAAGGAATACAGAGACACATAGAAATGTGGAGGAAGGTGAAAGGAAAACAAACTCTCTATAAAAAAAGAAATACACTGGGTACAGTCATAAACCATGGATGTAATTTTGGCACTTGGTTCAGCAATGTCTGTTTTCCTGCATTGTGCAAATGCCCCCATTGAAGCAATGTCAAGGTAAGGCAACAAAATGAGATGTATCCCTAACTTCACCTCTTCGTGCAGTAATAGTTATCTACATAACCACACATGCACATCTATAGGAAGATCTATTAACTGAGCAGGGAATTACTTCAAGTGTATTTTCCTAAAGTAAGGGTTTTTGCTTATTGTTACATAAGGAGGGGGGAAAAAGGAATTTGAACAGTGCAGTTGGTAGGATTTTACTAGTCAGTCCAGTCTAAAAAATGTTTTGAGGACTTCAAATTCATTTATAGTTTACAGCATTTGGAACATCATTTTTGGTGTGTCTTCTGTATTCCTTTCTTCTTTTGTCATTAGACTTATATGAATAAATATAAACTGCCACCATTTTTATTTAGTAGAAATATTTACTATCTATTCCCACCTTGTACAAGCCATAACTGTACAAGCCAAAACTCGATAAAGGACAGAGCAATGGGAAATAAGCCCATTGTACTAGCTGTAAAAATGTCCTTTTAAAATAATTTTTTTTAATGATACCTACTTAATTTTATAATGCAAACATATTTTCTGCCATAACTGTAAAACAATTATGTGCTTTCTTTTCCTATAAACTGTAGTTCAGATTATTGTACTTTCAAGAAAATATCTGGTTCCACTTATTACTTCTCAATGAATCACTGACTGCAGTGAGTGCCTGTTTATTCTCAATTACAGAATGCTAGACTGACCTTGGAAGTGAAATTCAGTAATCTTGGAAATCTGCCTTGCATAAATCTGATTCACTTTTTCCATTTTGCACTATTATTTTCTGTTGAGGCTTACTTAAACTTTTCCCTACAAATAATCTACGAAAACGGAGCTAAATTAGTTCTTATCATGAATAAATTTATATAGTGAAGAAGAAAAAAGGTCAAGTTCAAATAAGAGTGAAGCTGAAAATTAGTAGTAATAAAAATGCAGTGTTGTAATTGTTGCTGTTTTGTGTACTCTTGGATTAGTGGCAGCATATTCTATGCCTTAAAAATTAGGATAATGGAATAGGAAGGTTGCAAAGATAAGCTTTCCAAAGTTATTAAATCTATTGTGCATAAACACAAAAAGGGAAGTTAAATTGTACCAGCATCTTTGCCTTTGATCAGCATGCTGTGATTCTGTCACAGTAGCAACACCCTTTAAAGAA